TCCCTCTCTCACCCCAGTAAGTGAGGATCCAGCCGTGGAGATAGGACTCAGCCAGAGAGGTAACTGAGGCACCACAGAACTTGCTTCCCACTTGGAACTTGGCTCAGAAAACACAGGTCCTCGGGCCCTGGAGGCCAGGTAGAGTGGGTACCACTTCCCCAGCATGGAGTGCCATGGGCTGGGTGCCCCTTTCTTGCCAGTGTCCTCTGCTGCCAAGTGCAGTCGGGTTCTCCATGCTGGGCTGCAAGCTTGACTAGCCTGGCAAGTCCGGCCCACCCCAGCTTCAGGGATAACTCTAGAAATGGGAAACAAACAAACCCCTACTTCTGCTCTGCCTTAAGCTCCTTAGGACTGGCTGAAACTGCCACACACACTTGGACCACCACAACCAGGAGAAGCAAGGGAAGTGCCATGGATGTGGGCCTATGAAGAGGTTCCAGAATCTTGTGGAACCTCTGGCCTCCAGTGCTAGAGGTCAACTTTACTGGCTGTGGGGTCCTGAGTCCTATCTCTACACAAGTTCCAGTGCATCCTTGCAGCTCACCCAGCATTTGGGGCGTAAGCCCTGAGGTCTCAGGGTGACTTCCCTACTGGAGACCCGGTGTGGCCTTCCCAGGGGTCCTGGCACTGGCTGCAGTGGGCCCTCCTACCACCTGATGCTGAGGCCAGAGTTGGCCTTCTCTACCGCATGGTAGCTCGTGTGTAGTAGGCGGCTGGCCTGCTCCGAGCCTTCGCCATGCAGCCAGTGCCGGTAGAGCTCTTGGACCCCAGGTACATCCTCTGGCTCCTCTGTCCTGACCATGCTGTACAGCCTCTCAACATGCTGAAGAAGCTCCTTGCTGGGTGTGTCAGGGGCCTTGAGCTGGCCTCCACCATTCAAGCAACCTGTGGCAGAGTGGGACAGGCGAGGGCGTGGTATGGGGAAGGTGTTTGCATGCCATGGGTATGGACCCCACTTCCGCCCCTCCTGCCCTGCAGGATGCTGCCTGCAGCACTGGTCCCCATGCAATCTGTGCAGAGTGGGCCTGCTGTGGCTACCTGAAGGGCAGGCCATGACCTCCACGTAATGGTATGGGCAGCGCCCTCGCTTGAGCTTCTGCACCAGGTTCTGGATATTGCGGAAGCCATAAGCCACGGCGAAGTGCAGTAGGACTCGGCCCTCACTCTCCAGCGTCACCTCCTGGAAATCCTTGTTCCTGGAGGGGCAGATACCGTGCTCACCCCCACCCCACAGATGTGGTTGCCAAGCTCACCTGTTCCCAGTGGGAGACAGTAATGGAGAGGGAAGGCAGAAAGCTTACTTCCATGAGTCAGCAAGTGACCTCACTACCAGCCTCAGTTTCCTGATTTGTAGAATGGGAACCCCACCTTCCAGGACAGCCGTGCAACATGGTAAGGTCAAACGTAAAGCACCACCCTCCCTCTGTGGGGACACATCTGTGTAGGGTACACCACCCTGCCACCATCAGCCTTTCAGGGCTCTTGACTGCTATGGTGTGGGCAGGAGACACTGATCCCTACAATGGGGAGACTGAGGCCCAGAGAGCTCTGGCCCACTCAGGGAAGCGGGAAACAAGGGCTAACGCCCGCCCAATGCCTCAGGGTCTGTGCCAAACCCAGCTCCCCGTTTTCCACTGAGCTTACCTCAGTGAGGGGCCCCAGGGCCAAGGCTGCCTCAACTGCAGCCCTTCCCACTGACCTCAGTGGCCTGTAGGTGACCTCATCCACATGGATTCCAAAGAGCTCCTGGGCTGCATGCCGGAACACATGCTCCAAGTAGCCACCTGAGCCCCCACCTCGATGGCTGGTGGGCTCCTGGGTGGACACGCTGCTGTACCTGGGGAGGAGGGCAAGGCCTTAGGTGGCAGCGGGTCTGCTATCTGCCAAGGCTTCTGGGTGATCTCTGTTTCTCATGGTTGAGGGGGTGTGCTTTCTAAATGGGAACAAGTCATAGACCCCTGGTGGCTTTGTTGGTACACGAGGAGGCAGCTCAGGTGGGAGAGGACTATCCCCTCCATTGAGTCACCTGTTCTGGGGACCTCAGACCTGTATCAAGTTGGGGTCAGCTCTGATAACCACAAGTTAACTGTCCATAGTCCAGCTCGTGAACCTGACCATCTCTGTGGACATTAAGACAGACCACAGGGCAGGCACGGAACCAAGCAGAAGGAAGTTGTGATGTGATGAGGAGGGGAGGGAGACACTGCCCACCACCACATGCTTTTGCTGCCTGTTAGGACACCTGCGACTCCCGATGTTGAGAGTGCTCTGACACCGGTTGTATGTTTGTTCCTTCTATGACAGGTAGCGACTTACAGACCATCCAGTGGGGCTGGCTCCAGTTCTGACAACGAGACTCCTTCTTCTTCCAGCAACTTGAAAACTTCTCCTACAATGAAACCACAGTGTAGATGCTTATCAGCTAGGATATCAGTAAAAATAGAGAATATCAAGGAACACCATCATCTGCATCTCTAGCGACCTGTAATTTGGCATTCAAGGCCTGGATGACCACCCCCTGGCTTGTGGGTGGAGGACGAACCCGGCCACAGGAGTAAGGAAGAGGTCTCCACTTCTGGAGACCCTCAGGAGAGCCACCTCGCTGCCCTAGGACTGCACCCACCCTCACAGCGACAAGGTGGGGCTTGGACACGCATATCTCCAGGTACTCCCCCAGCAGTGCACCTGTTACATTTGAGCACATGTTCATGCAGGAAAACCTGCCCCTGAGTGTCTGGGCTCCCAAGCATTTATTTTTCTGTCTTTGACTATGTGAGGCTGCTCAACTCAGAAATGGGGTGACCAATGTGAATCAGACTCAACGATGGGCTGACAAGACTCTCCACCCATTTCCTCATACAGACCATTTTAGAGCAAACACTGGTAGTGCTGGGGTACTTAACTGCTGCAGGTCCCTAAGATGACAGGACAGCTGCAAACACCAACCTGGCTCCGAGGGAGGGGCCTTGCCTCATGTCAGGCCCTGGAGCATACTACACAGGGGATGGCAGCTCCAGCGAGAGCCTATGGGCAGGACCTAGGTAATGCCAGCCTGTTCCCTGGGCTTGAGGACACCACCTGGAGGTGCGGGGGCTCAGGGTGGCAGGACCCATACCTGTCGTGACAACACAATCTACATCGCGTGTCTGCTGCTCCTGGTTGAAAAAGTCGGGTCTGGACGCTTCCAGCTTTTTGTCATAGCAGGGCATCACTGTCACATGGTAGATCTTGTCGGGGGTCACATGCTGCATAGAGAGACATGGAAATGTGGAGTCACTGCCTGAACCCAGCAGTAAAGGGATCCTGTTAGGGTGAAGCAAAGTGACGTTGCAGGCAGTTCTAGTGTCACAGGAAGCATGCAGTTCTAGTGTCACAGGAAGAGGGGTGGCCTGCATCGTAGCCAGGGCATGACCACGAGTCTGTGAATGGGTCCTTGGACACTACAGGTCTTGGATCATCTTTCAAGACAGTGACACTGAATTATTCATAGCTGAATGTCCCTGTTACCTGCTGCTGGGCAAAGAAGTCCTTGACCAGGGACCCCATAACCTGCTGTGGAGACCGGGCGGTGCTGATGTAAGGGATGATGGCGCTCCCGTGGGTCTTCTCAGCATAGCAGATCCAGCCTGAGGCCGACACAAGGGACAAAAGGAGCAGCTCTCAAGCCACCTCTCACCGGCTCAGCAGTGACATGATATTTCGGGTGTGGACCAAAGGAGTTCTGTCCCAGTAATGTCCCCACTCTATTATTACCATCATGTGTTTCCACCATCGATGTAATCACCATCTTGGGGAACTGAAGTGACTACAAGTGACTCTCAGGACAGCACTTTCTGCCAAAGAGGCCATTCTGGGCTGGCATTTCTAGCCCGTTCTGGCAGAACACTCTAGTCCCCCCACCCAGCATTCCCACGCCCCACGTCCAGCTGATCTCGCGTCAGCAGTGTGAGCACACCTGGGCAGGCGGAAGTCAGCACAGGCAAGGCTTGCTTGGAGTCGGCCTGTCCTCGGAATCGCCGCACAAACTCTCGCTGGCTCTCTAGGAGACTGAAGTTCCTCGAGAAGGCAGTATCAAACACATAGTGTGCCCCTGGAAGGTGAGCACCCCCCCTGAGCCCCATAAAGAATGGCTGAGGAGTGGGGCGCTGCCGACTGTGCTCCCAAGAACAGGGGCTCTGCCTTCCACGTAGCCACAGGAAGCATGCAGTTCTAGTGTCACAGGAAGAGGGGTGGCCTGCTCACGCACGCATCAAGCACACATTCTTACACTCTGCTGGCACCAAGGGTCACTGCAGATCACAGTCAGATGAAGGCTGGTGACACTGCTGCCTGAGAAGCTTACATGTGACAACCAGCTTTTGTCTGCGTTTAACGGCTGCCCATGGTGCCCAGGACATTGGTCTGCACCAGGCTCATCCCATGTCCTCCCAGCCCCGCTCCTGGCACATTCCCGCTGAGCCAGACCCAGCATGGATCTGGGAAATGTGCCTTGATAACAGTAATTAAAAAACAATAGAATAGGTGAATTCTGAACTTGGGGAGAGTGCAAAGTTAGGATTCAGATGGTTTTCTCTTAAAAGGCACTGCTCTCAATTGTTAAACAAAAACTTCAAGCTGAAGTCAAACTTGGAGTTGCTGGTGTGTTTAAGTTCAGAGTCGTGAAGATCCCCCTGCCCCAATACACCCATGTTCTGAGCTATAGTGCTTACCCAAAGTTTTGCACCTACCTAGTTTTTTAAAGAAGGCAGTTAACTTCCTGGCAGTGTCTGTAGGATTCATCTGAAATCTCACAGCCAGCGATGCTCTGGACTGGGGTGAGACCGAAATGACAACCAGCTTCTGCTGACCAGGCACCACTGTCTGCAAAACAAGGGACGCACTGTTCACTTGGTGCATTTTATATAGATTCTCAGTGGGCCAGAGCTGGCGAGAGCAGTCCTAGCTCTATCAGGGCATGTCATTTTTATGTATGTAGAACCCAAAGTTTAGGGCCTGACATTTCACCATTGAAATATAAGTAATTCTCTGCGATCCCACTGATGAGATTTAAAAATGCAGGAGTCACTGAAGATGTAGGACAAACAGTACCAGGAGAGGAGCTGTGCTTGACAGCATGAATGAAAGATGCTGGGGCTGATGCTGGGTTACAGTGCAATCTTGAAGACCACCCATCACTTACCTTATTGGCATCTAGAACCTTCCGCAGCTCCTCATGACTCTGCTGAGTGATAAGCACAGTCTCTGCTGAGGTGACACAGCCACTGCACGCCAGACAGTCATCCAGTGAGATCTTGGCCTTCTCCAGCTTTCGTGTCCCTCCGTCCTGGAAGCAAGAGAACCTGGTAAGCAAAGGGTTCCTCTGTGTGAGGACACAGAGCTCTCAGGATTACAGAAACTACAGGAAATCTTTATTCTCTAGCTCGGAGCACTGACAATCAACATGGTGGTTGGCTTTATGCGCCATGTTTTTAAGTTATTTATTACAGAAATACTTGTACACATTCTGGATTTAAATGGCAACATTAAATTCTGACTTTGGTACAAACTCAGCTGGAGACTTGCGACTCTCCACAGAGGTTCCAGAGGGGTCATTGGTCCCCAGGCTACACACATGGGGCTGTAAGGACAGGTAAATGCCAAAGGCCAGGCTCTAAAAGGAGAAAGAACAGCAAGGCAAAGGTGAGGAGGAAGGACAGAGGGACAAGGTGAGAGCAGAGGGAGTTGGTGGAGCTTGTGCCCCCATGAGCTTTGCCCACCCAGGGCCAGCACCTGGAGTTGTTGCGGAGGGATGCAACGGGCAGCAATAAGTCAGACTCGGCCAAACAGACACAGAACTTGGTGTTTAAGTCGAGCCTCCAGGCTGACACTGGTGACTCTTCTTAGATGCAGATGATCCCAGCCAAGCCCCTTCACTTCTATAAATGCAGGAATAGTCTGAGCCAAGACTAGACGAGCTGCAGGGTCTGAGAATGTGACCAGAGGGCTGAGGAGACTGGTACTCCCTCCCAGCCAAGTTGACTAGGCCTGTGCTTTGCACAAAGCCACAATTTGAGCTGAATGTGTATTTTTAAGAGTCAGATCAGCCTAAAGGCCTGAGATTCAATGCTGTACCAAGCAGAAGGCTGATGAGCTCCCCGACTTCCCTCCAAATCAAGCACTGCTGCTCTGCACAGCGGGGCACACTGGCACCCCTATCTCAACTAGGTCCCTTCATTCTTCAGACCACTCCTGAGGTGTCTTTTTCTTGAAAAGGACCCAGTCCCCTGTGCTGTACCAGGCTCTGTGTGGAGCCCTGATGTGCTGCTGGCTCACTCTCTTGCACCAAGCAGATAGCTGGCTTTCTCCCTGTAAATGCTTGATTTGCTGTCCATTACCACCTGGCATCACCCTGGGACTCCTCTCCCTGCTTGGAGGGGTTCTTGGGCCAAGTGCACCCAATGCCTGCAATCCAAAGGATGTCATAGATGTTCTTGAGAATCCAAATGGCAGACAGGCGGAGTAACAACATTAGATCAGGATTTTATGACTGCTTAATTAGACAGGAATTAAGTATTCACTAAGAAAAACAAGGGGTCTGAACTAGAAAACCTTACACAATTAGAGAGAGAGAGACAGAGGGAGGGAGGTGAAGATAAGAACCATCATCTCTGCAAAAAGAGCCCCCTCTGCAGAACAAATCAAGTTCCATGTTCAGCCTCTGTGTCTCCTCCTATCCCTCACTCCCATCCCTGCTTTCTCAGACTTCCTGAAAAATATGAATTCGACCCATGAAAAAGGACTGGTGAGACATGCAGTACCGCGGTCACTGCACTCATGACTAAATGGTGTGGTGAAACGTGTTTCAGATCATCCGAGGTAAAACCCACCTGACTGATTTGGAAGTAACTACCGTCATCTTCGATGTGGATCTTGGCCATGCCGCTTCCTTGCCTCTTATCCACCTTCATGGGCTTGATACAATCCTATACCAGGAAGAGACCCCAAACTTGGCCTGAGTGGGCAGAAGAAGAGGGGTGGCCTGCTCACGCATGCATCAAGCACACATTCTTACACTCTGCCGGCACCAAGGGTCACTGCAGATCACAGTCAGATGAAGGCTGGTGCTAATTGGGCCCATATGCTAACCTGTCAGCAGACACAGACAACTCTGACCTTTACCCTTCTCAGTATAAACAGGAGGCATGGCCACCACTACCACTACCCTCTGCCCCTCAGAGCCAGTGGCCAGTGTTACAATGGCTCCTGGGAGGAAGCCAAGAGATCAACAGGAACGCTTTACTTGGAGGTCACCTCCTTGCCCAGTGACACAGAAAAACATTCATTTCTCTCCCTATCTCCCTGAGCTCTTGTTGTCTGCCTCATCATCATTAGGAGAACCTCATTGGCCATAGCCTTCCCAAGCATGACCAGCCCCAGAAAGGCCCAGCTGGAGGCCTGTGGGAGCTCGTCCCTGCCTGGGATCACCCACAAGGTCCCCCCCCCTCCTCCCCCCCAC